GCTCAGCTGTCGTAAAAGATGCTGATTCTTTTCTTTCTTAATCCGCCTGAACAGAAGAAGAGGAGGAGAATGGCACAGTCTGCAGTGAAACAACACCCTTACCAATAACCAAGCAGGAGGACCAAGGTAATAGTTTAAATCACAAATGCACTTTCCTAATGCGCTTATTTTTTTATTCTACGGTGATGATGATGATGATCCTGTGTCAGCGTTTCTAAAACATAAAACACAATTTCTCTGTTTTTCCACAAACCTTGTCTTTAGCTGCAACGACTGACAACCAGGAAACAACAGAAACCAACGGTGGGCTGAGTTCTTTTCTAAAATGAGCCAATGAAGAAGTCTTTGCATCAACAACAGGCCTATCAATGAGTCAGCAGACTTACGTCAGCTCTGTGAGGCTTTAATGGTCAGTGCGCACCAGAAAACAACATCTTTGTGTGATCTAGTGATGTGGCAGCACATCTGACACTCAGCTGATGATCATTGCGATTGATGTAAAAGTTTCGTTTTAGACGTACTCTGTCACGACCCGGCAGCTGGAAACTCTTCAGGGCGAGATTTTAAAAAACCAGCTACTGAAAAAAATAAACATATCATAAAATATGCATGAACAGATATTTTATACACGCATTACCAAAAAGCACAAAACTGTTGAGGATTTATGCATCGTTTAATTCACATTGTTTGAATGAATTTGGTTTTTAAGGCACTGTTAAATAGAAAAAACATTATTTATGAGCTGAACATCATTTATAATCACTGTTCATGTTGAGTTGCTGTATATATTTTACATGTACGATGACGTGCAGGAGAATTTATTCGTTGTTCTTCAGTTAGATCTTCAGTTCTCTGAACAAGCAGCAGATGTCAGCAGATGTAACACAGGCTGTGTTGTTCTCCGAACTTTATTTTTACCGTAACGATGAATGTCACTTTTGTTCTTTGCTTCTTGCTTCGTTTTCTAACCACCTGGATGTTGATTAGTTGATGTATTTATGTAAAAATTCAAGCATTTTAAGTTTCCACATGAATTGTGTTAATAAAAAGTATAAAATGTTGCCAAGAGTGCATAAACTAACAACATTCTGCACCATGTGCAAGAAACACGCATTCAGCCAGTGGGAATTTCACAAGTAGTGCGATTTGTGGATCAGTCGGTGGGGAGGTCCCGTGCATCTGTAACAGTGACAAGAAAGAGGACAGAATCCACCAAGTTACCATCTATAAATAAACCTGTGACGAACCAAAAACAGCATGGTGGCTCACACACACACACACTGACTCACATCTACTTCAGCATATCTGCCAGTTTTTCCATATAGTAGTTGTAGTTCTCCTGACAATCCTCCCAGGGCGTAAAGCTCTCATCCTCCTTCTCTACGTATGTTTCCCACACAAGCAGGAAGTCTGACGGCTTCATCATTCGCAGTTTGCAGCCGGCTCTCACCAGACCCTTAAGCCCTTCGACTATCTCTGGCTCCTCCCACTCGAAGAGACGGGAACAGAATATACAAAGACGCAGCTTTTTGCGCTGCTGGAGGATGCTGGCCAACTTGGCTGCACAGGCCACACAGGGACTAGATGATACATACCATGTGACATCACACTCTAGAGAGGCGTTAGGGAGCACCTGCAGATGTGGGAGTCGAAGTTTGAGTCTAGTTTGTATTATGACGTTAGAAATGAGAAAACCTAGAGTTCACATTTGGGCACAACGCCATTACCTGTTCAAAGAAGGCCACCTCAGCGTGAGCGGTGGCATGCTCGTCCTCCATGTAACCTTTCAGAGGCTCTGCGCTGCCTCCTGCTGTATCCACTCTGAAACACAGGAGGGTTTTGTTCCTCCCTGATGAGTACTCCACATTCCTGAACTGAAACTTGAAGTAGAATGGGCTCATCTGTTCCCTGGTAGAGTAAAAGTGTGAGTTTAAACAAAGACGCTCTTTTGCCTTGTGAGTGAATCTAAAAGGAAGTGGTTTACAGGCAGAAACTGCTCTCATCATTAGGGTCAAAAGGTTTGTCCCTGTCGTCTCTCACTGTGGTTCATGACAGCGCAATGTGAGAAAAAGTGACATAAATGACTTTAAAGGTGGGCAGACGTTCACTTGCTTGCCTAAGCATGGGTTGCTCATTTTGTGATGATCCAAACTAAAGTAATAAATAAATAAAATGAAAAATAAAGAGTCAACAACTGAACGTTATGGCCTAAAGAACCTATACCAGCCAACTCCATCTGCCTGGACTTAATAATCTACTGTTAAGCTGCACAAGGAGAGCCAGGTGGATCACACAAAATAGATCTCATGTAATGTTGACAGCACATAGTCATAGGACAGATACGGGAAACAGATGCTAGGCAGGGGATATATCTGGGTTCAGTGTTCACTTTGTGACTCATCCCTATTCTTACCACTATGTTAATAACAGCATGTGCAGGTCACTAGTTTCCTGTCTCATTGAAATCAAGTAAAGAACATGCATTTGAACAATATGACTTATACATCTATAAGATAAAACATGCTTGTGTTAGAGACTAAAGCAGGTTAGTGGGACGCACTGTTTATGGCACACGCAGTAACTTTTACCCACCCTGTGACGATCTCAAACGGAGGCAGTTCTATAGGCTGAAACTCTCCATTTTCATCACTGTTTTTTGCGTCTGCGCCTGCTGCCCCCTCACTTTCCCCATTCCTCTTCTCTTCATCTTTCTTTGGCTGCTCGGGGGCCTTCTCTGGTTTCTTCTGGGGTTTTTCTGGCTTTTTTGCCATATTCTCGTTCACCTTTTCCTTTTCTTTGTCCTTCTCACTATTCGTTTTGCTTTCCGCCTTCTTTTCTTTCCTCTTGACGCTGGACCGGCTGTTTCTGTCCGCCATGATTCTGTGCAAGTAGGTGACGGTGTCAGATGAAGAGCAGGGGTGAAAAGGAGAGAGAGACAGATGGGGAGGGGTGGAGGGTATAAGTGGAGTCATGACCCTAGTGCATTACAGAAATAGCACCTATTGTGTGCTAAGGTTGGAGTCAAAACATGTGCATATCTGACCAGGGTAGGGGGTCGGTGGCTCCGTTGACTAAGTCCCCTGCCTACAGCGGCCTGGCTATTAAAAGGCCAAATGACAAACATGACTGACTGCCAGTGTGTGCGTATGGTGAAAGGGACAAGACGAGCCTTAGATTTCTTCCATAATTTAGACAATGTCCAAATTTATGAAAGACAAACCAAACAGCGTGCACAAATGTGCCGCCTCAAGCACGAGTGCTTTCCAATCCATCAGGCTTTCTAACTGTCAGCAGGCCAGCAACAGGCAGGTTATTAATAACACTGCTTGGCTGAGTGTGTGTGTCTGTGTGTACGGGGTAACCAGGGCTTTCCAGATACTAAACACCGCTTCTGTTTGTGCCAACTCCGATGTCCTGCAGCCCATTAGGCATTAGGAAGGCCAGCTAAAGGGCACCTCAAATAGGAGAGTATTTGGAGCAGAGCAGCACAAGCAAATGCAAACTCAGTGTGTAAAAGAGGGTTTGTCTCTGTGCTATGAATAAGAGTGCGAGCGTGTGCAGTGGCCTAGTGTGCATGTGCCCGTGAACAATCAATCTATGAAATCACCCTGCATCAATATGGTGCTTTGCTGAGGCCATCGTGCAGGGGAAGAATTGGTTTTGTAAGGGTGTGAGCATTTTGTGTGTCTGTGTGCGGATGGAAAACGTCCTTCTGCACTGCAGATGTAATAACTTGAGGTATAAGGACGAGGGAGGGAGTGAGGGGGCAGTTCAATTACAATTTCCTCCCCCTCCCCCGGTCTCACTGTCTGCCAAGTAATTCATTTCAGAGGCAATTACCAACAGGGCTGCATCCCAGCCCCGTCGTCTAACTCAAATGGATGAGCTGTCACAGCTGGGGAGGGGAGGGGCAGGTGGGGGCCTCAAGCTGCTCCACATATACTAACAAAGAACAACAACAACACACCCATGGAAAGCTGGGAAAACACAGTGGCACGTCCACACAGATATCGAGCTCCATATCTAAATCCAGAGACGTCCCGGGGTGATGATCATTAAGATCACAGCAATCTTTGATAATTATGATCTATGAGGGGGAAGTCTTTGTTTCGCCCACAGATTAGCACGTTGATTTTCAAAAACAAAAACTTACACTGTTTTTTCTCTTTTTTTTGCAGGTAATAATAATAAATAGATGTAAGCCGTGTGAGAGCACTATCAGGGTTCATCTTCAGACTGATGCTGTTGTTTATGGTTACCTTATTGATCATAGCTCCTTAATTGAGGCACTGAAGCGCTTCATCCCTTTAATGTGGTATTATAGAACAAATGTACAGTAGCTGCATGCAGTCCTGACATTTATTTCTCAGTTCCTTAGAAATAAGATTTTGTGAGGCTTGTTGCCTGTGATAAGGGAAGAGGGAGGGGGTGCAGGATGTGACTGCTGCCTGCCTGCTGACTCAAATTTAACTGTAATGGAATTATTGCAATTACCCAGCCTCCCTGCAGGCCCAGCCCGGAGTAAGAAAGCAAAAAAAGGCTAACACACATGACTTTATCCCCTGTTTTCCTTCATTGGGATGCTCTGCAAAATATTTCAAAATATCTATGTGAAGTTCAACAAAGAGAAATCTTTGCCATGGCACAAACAGTCGTTCCTTGCTAGTCTTCTGTGACAGACACAGGGTCAAACCCATTTCACTTCCTCAAAGTTCACATGAAATTGAAAAAGGGAGGAGGGGGGGTGCTGATAATAAAAATGAAATGAAATTCACCTCTCCTCTGACGGATTGACAGAGGATATAAATAAGGGTCAAAATGATACACATGAAGCACAATCCATGTCTTCTTCAAAATAAATACAAAAGATTTTGGCTTATGAAAAACCCTCTGGAACGAATTCATTTCGTAAGTCGGGGGGGGGCGTGTCACATGAGGTCGTGCATTCACTGACATCTGCAAACTGCACACACCCGCAGCGTTAAAGTAAGTGAAACTAATTTATTATCATCTCCCAGTGATGAGGCACACACACAGTTAAAACAAAGACTGAACAGCGTATTAACAAACTGTTGAGCAGTTGATGTCTTCCTTTAAAAATAGCATCGACATAATGAATCACAACCTAAGGCTAAAAAAAACACGAGTTGCTACAGTGTGCAAAACTTGACTAGCTGGTTATTGTTGGTTCGTCAGTGTTGACTGATGGATACATGAGAAAGAGGGAGATCTGTGGTTGTCTGGAGACCCTGATCAGGCAAAATAACGTCAAAGTAAATGCTTTAGTATTGATCTGCTTCCAGCAAACTCAGTCCACAGCATGTGGTGCGATAGTCTGTAGGCTACGAGGGGAAGCAGGCATCCACGCCCGCTGTAGCCGGGAAAACCGATCTTGAGGATTAAAATGAGTTGCAGCTCTGAAATTCTTCTTGGTGATTCTGATATGAAATCATGTGCAGTATGAGGATTATGTTATCGTGCTAGCTCAGTTTCCCTTAGAATGGTATGGAGGTTCGAGTCCAAGAAGTTACTTTACTGCAAGTGTAAAGAGCTCTAAGTCCATAATAATCTGTAGTTGGCTTTGAGGTAGATGAGCGTCTCCAGGTTCTTTGGTAAGACACAGCCTCTCTCTGGCAGCAGAAAGCGTCCAGCTGTAGTGAAAATGCTCTCCACCACAGTACCACAAACAGGTATGGTGAAAGCTCTCTTGGCCACCTGGGCAAGCAGAGGGAAGTCAATAGCTTTACGTCGCCAGTAATGCAACGCCTCCTCGTCTGTGGGTTCCTCGCGTAGGTAGATAGCCAACTCCTGTTCTAGGCTCTTGGCCTGTGTTGTGGGTCTCTGCTTGATGAAAGAGAACAACTTGCAGGGCCGAGAGAGCGAGGAGATCGGTGATGGAGCTGGGGCAGGAGGAGTGTGGGACTGTGGATGAAGGTCTGTGTTGAGATTTACGGGGCTGGAGGCTGTGGAGTGTTTGGATACCTCCTCTATGAGAACTTGTCTGTGCCAGTCAGGGTTACTGCTCCAAGTAAGTTTGAACTGGGGGTCCAGGGTGGTGGCAGTGATGTAGAGGGGGTTCTCCAGGATAGGCGCAAGGAGACGCTCTACAGCCTGGCTGAGGCCCACGACCAGGGAGGGGCAGTGGGGGGTGGACGTCTCGGACAGATGCTTGCGGAGGCCGAGAACACAAGGCAGAGCGAGACTGATAGACACGTGTCTGTCCGTCTGTGCGTCTGCTTGTCTGTCTCCGTGCACCATATCCCAGGCCTCAGTGAAGGGCTCCAGAGTGTCCGTGAACTCCCTCAGCAGGGCTCTCTCTGTCCCACCCAGCCCCAGTTCCCCTGGACCGCTCATCTCCTCCAGGAAGTCCACAGAGTCCAGCAGCCGCCGCAGGACCTTTATCAAAGCAGACAAATACATTAATGCTATTAAGCATTTATTTTGGTAGCCACACTTTATTTGTGCACCTTTTACTTAACATACTGCTCATGTTAAATGTTTGAAGCTGATGCAATCTGTTTATTTGGTGGCATTAATGATGATAATAAATTCAGTATAATATGTAACCCTAACTTTAACTTGCCTTAAGCTGAGCAGCCCAGTCTTGTGCTGCCTCTGGGAGATTCCCTTGTCCCCCCATCATCAACCCTGGACCATCGAACACTTGGCTGAGCTTCTCAGGTGGGACGGCAGAGGTAATGTAGTTGTAGAAACAGGCTGCCTTTGCCAGCGTGGACGAGAGCTGTGGACAAGAGCGCAGCCCTTCCCTGACACACTGTTCAAGAGAGCGAGAGAAACAGTCCACCCGAGAAACGCCCAAACCCTGCTCCCACGTGTATTCCCATTCTCCTTCTTCTCCAGCGTCGCCGTGGCCATTCCTGATCTCTTCTTGCTCCACGTTGTTACTACTGTCCACCTCTTCTTCATCATTTCCATCTTGGCCGTTGCCGAGAGGAGGTGAAAGCAGAAAACCGGGAAGGCAGCATGGCTTTCCGCTCGTTCTCGTCGGCAGGAGAGGGTCTGCCACAACACGAAATGCTCTGCCTGACACGCCATGAGAGTGACATACTTCATCAAATTCGGAAAGTATGCGATTCCCAGAGCTGCCACCAGTCAGTGGAAGGCACGCCAGGAGAGCTGAGCGCATTTGCCACTCAGATGTAAGAAAATGGCAGGTGACACCAAGGTACCTGTAGAGAAAGAGAGAGAGACGTGGAGTCTTCAGTGAAGGGATTCAAACCAAGTTTCCATTTTGTAGTTTCTGGCTTGTTTTACCTCCTTACCCTGAAGTGACTCCAGATAATCCTCTCCAGAGATCCAGGCTGAGGCTAAGGGCGTGTGCTGAGGCCAAGGCCTGACGGGTGGCCAGCTGGGCCTGGTAGGCGTAGGCTGGAAGAAGTTGGCTTTGGATGTAATGCTGAGGCTCAGGGGTGTAACGAGGCTCCAGGAGCTGAAGCAACTCTCTGAAGCCTTGATTTTCCACTATGGACACTGGCTGGAGATCACGCACGATCATCTTAGCTATAGCCTCAGAAATCAGAACCTGCAGTTTAAAAAGAAACACCACAAATTACACTTTTTAAAAATAGCTGATGCTTTTACTCAATAAATCTGTTACATTTGCAACGTTGCACGCTCCAGCGCTAACGGGCTACAACACACCTGACGTGGATCATGTCTGTCAAATTTGGTCACCCCTCCTCCAGAGCCTCCTCCTACTCCTCCCTCAAGAGTTCCCATTCCTCCAACACCTCCACTTGCTACTCCTCCACCTCCTCCTCCCACTCCAGCACTAATAGGGAGTGTGTAGCGGGTATTCCCTCCATTGGCGTTGAAACTGTGCAGGGAAGCAGAGGAGTAGCCCTCTCTCTTCATATCCTTCCTTTTGACAAAGTCATCATACATAGCCTGGTGCTTCCGCTG